TCTGCTTTGTTTGTGGGTGCATGGCACTTTATAATTGTCACTTTCCTTCCTTTTGAGTTGAATCTGGCCGTCATTATCCTGGGCGAGATTGCCTCCCATTGTATTAGGGCCTTCATTGCCGTTAGTGGCATCATGATAGCTACACCCTCAGTGTACTCATGGTTGTCTTCTGAAGGATCTGAGTAAATCACTGACTCTCCGGTTGACAAGTTCGTGAATCCACTCTGATTCCATCTGCTGTCACGTATTCCCAATATTTGAACACCATATCTTTTCATCTCATTTGCAATCTGGGAAACTTTGCCAGTCTCACTCATGGCGCGGACATTCCATGTCCCCACACAGACTTTTTCCTTTGCCTCAAGGAGACCTATCTTGCTGAAGTTTCTGTAGCAACTTTGTTTACAGGGTGGGGTTGCTAGCCTCACGCCTGAGAGGGGGGTTGTTACATGGATGTATAGTTTGCAGAGGAATGACTTTTGAATAGCTTCCCTGTGCGTCGGTGGCACAGTGGTTAGGACTCTCGCCGACCATGCACATGGTCCGGGGTTCGATTCCCTGCCGACGCACACCCGATATCTATGGTCGGCCTGCAAAATGTGGGCTACCGATATCCATGTTGAAAATTCCATACTTGTACTGAAAATACGGTATGGCATCAAGCTGTGATCAAAAACAAAAATAAATAACAAAATAATCACAGAAACAGCGAATAAAGCAATCAGAGTAACACCAGCAAAAGGAAAAGATCACAACAGGAAGGGCAGCGACAACAACAGTAAAACCGTAGCAGTGGTATCGCTGTCAAATGCAATTAACAAAATGATATCGAAACCATAGACTCACTAACTTTGTTCACCTCGGGCATGTATATCAAGCAACATGCACAATTATAGATATTATTGTTAAACAGACACAAAATGCCAAACAGTTAGTTAGAAGTGTTACCAGCCAACAAGATTATATCCACAGGTTCAGTATTCGAAGGTAAATTAACTACAACAAATTCCACAACTTCCTGGCCAGAAGCACCGGAGAAATGAGAATTTTATTTGACTAAACAAACGAGGCGCACTAATCGAAAAGCGCGTCAAAGTCGTTTTGAACAGGTTGTGTTAGTATAAGTATTTCAAGAAACGACCATATTAGCAACGGTACCTTCTAATATTTTACATATGCATGTACAATCAATAATACACTGCTAACTTTTGTGTTGAAATGAATACACTCAGTCATTAACTCCCTTTTCTCATTTGCTTTCCCAAAATGTATGATTTCGTTACTTTTCGCAGTGTGTTTCCATAACATAAACTGGTGGGCTACTTTGTAATGTTTCACGCGTACCATTCGGAAATCTGTCATGAATATTTAGCATTACCAGTTCTCTTAACCAGATGTTTTCTTCAGGATCATTCTACACAGCTTTATCACTAATTGTTCCATTACCCATTTCACTCTGCTTAATAGACTATAACTTGATTGCTGTAATACTAGCAGATTGTGCTCACAAACTAAAGTCAAAAAGGACAGCAACCATGTATTTTCATCACAAAAATCAAATTTATGTAATTCAAATAATACCTATCCATGCTAGCAAAACTGGTGTGTCCTACATAGATAGGAACTTGAAACTGCGTGAAGGACTGGAATTCAAGTCCTCCTCTGGGTGACGTTTAGATAAAAGACAGAACTACTAACCCTTCAAGAGGATTTGGTTTAATCTAAATTTTTGACTGATAGAGTTTTTGGTGAAATAAGTGTTGATGATGGCAATGCTGGTTTGCATGACCGATGTGACGCTTTTAGATTTGACAAGGATTGTTCACCACACCAGCAATTTACTGATAGACTGAATAGAAACTTGGGACTAGAGGAGGAGTTCAGGCAGCCCACTTCTGAGCTAGCTAGTGAGTCTATGATGAAGGACAGTGGTTTAAGAGGTAGGAAAACGGATGAGTCTGTCTCACACTTAGAGGAATCAACTAGCCCCATTGTTAATGGTATGTTCACGACTACGTTTGACATTAATGCGCTTTGATGGCAACTGTGGTTGGCATAAAATGTTTGTTAGTCAGTTTTGGAGTATTACGGAGAGCAGATTACGAGGTAAAGGGTATATGTTAACATATCTATTGCATTTTTGTTAGGGAATGTTGATAAAGGCAACTGGAGTCTCAGTGGCTCTCTCTGGAGGTCTTCACTGTTTAAGAGTCATTCAGCTACCGTATGATCTATTTGACCGTGACCATATGACTGCTTGTTCAACTGTCAGTCAGCATATAAGGGATTCGCAGACCATTGGCACGGCTGGGAAAGATCTCGCTGACTTCGCTACATGACTTCGTATTGCTCATATCACGCTGAATAACGCCGGATACATTTGCTGTTTGAACTCTCCCATAAGTTTAGGATGAGTTATTGGCCGTTTTCCTATCGAAATACTGGCAAAACGGGCTGACTCGGCCGACAGAATTTCGGTGTCCTTAGGAAACCTGGAGTTTGGCGATGTGGTTAAGTTTGTAGAAGAAATAGCAGGAGTCGGTCGAACACATTATGGAATTTAGCTTAGGCACAAAGCAGACTCCAGGGAGTAGAGGGCTGCAGGAAAACAGCACTCTACGTTTCATTGTGACGTGATCGAAAGGCCTATTACAAGGCAACCTAAGAGCATCCTAGAGGAATCAAATCGTTGCATTTTGTGTAGGGGTTCTCATGGTCTGGCAGAATGTCTTAAAATGAACGATACTAACGTTGAGGAGAGGAGATAAAGCGTTAGGAAGTTCAATATTTGTTGTTTGTCTCAAATAAGGTCATATTGCAGGGTGTTGTCCTCCACGGAATAAGTTTGTTGTGGATAGCTGCAACGTGTAGGGTGACGTCCGGCTACATTAGGAGGACAATAATAAAGCTGAATTCAGTAACACTTTCTGAACTTGAAGACAATTTGGATTGGGTCAAATTAGGTTAAAAACAGAGTGGTAAGCTGGCGCTTAATGCCTTATGGTGCCATTTGAAAAGCACGTTGTGGAACGTGCCCCATGTTTGTTTTGGAACCAGAAGGTAGATGAATTACAAAGCGCTACTTTTATAGAAAATAAGAGGAGTTTGGATAGTAGAATTTAAGAAACCTAATCTAATATTATCATCCTTTAGTTCAGCAATATGAACACTTAAATCGTTTCTGTGCTGACAGCACTCGATCTTATAAAGCAGCTTGATTTGTGCAGGCAATAGATCACAAAACTCTTCGTGGCATGATGAAGTGAATGGGATTATCGAGAAGGTGGTCACCAACTCCATCCCTATGGTAACTGTAATCCCCAAAAAGAGGCACTAAGTGACTCCTTTAGAGAGAGATAGAGGAGAATTGTGCAAATGGGCCGCGCAATGAAGAAGTCAGATGAGAATACATACATAGTCATAAGAAATTTCTGTAACACAAGAGTCCCGAAGAAAATAAATCTTACTCTAATTAACTATGAAATTTCACACTAACCGCAAGAATTCTTAAATTATTATACCAGAGACGAAAATAGCATTCAGGAAGTGCACTGTTAGAAGTCATATTGACAAACTTCTGAGCAATACAGGCATAACCAGAGCCTTTGGCGAAGCATTTGAAATAGAGTTGGATATAGAGGGTGAGAAACATTTAAGTAAACATGGGCAGTACATGACTGAGTTAGACATTGAAGAGATTACACCTCTTCAAATTTACTGAGTGTAGCTCTGGAGAAGTTAACAAGTCCCTGTTCAGTAAAATCTTGAAGATTAAACAATATTAGACGATTATTTCTCAAATTTTGTGCTGAGGATATCTATTTCTTACCAAGAATTTTCAGCACACACAAGTTGGAACTTTGAAGAAAAGAAGGGATTCATTAATCATATTTATAACTTCTTGTATGTCATAGCATCGGTGGCTGTTTTGGCTCCCATGGAAAATGTCCTCTAGTGAAGAACGCTTTAGAGTTTGAAATAGCGGGTACTGGGTTCAAGTCTCAGTGGGAACACCATTACTCACTGGCAATGCAGTCACATCCAGGTGACGAGTTCCAAATCGGGCGAAGTGCACATAATGGATTCCACTACTAGTCACCACCCACCAAAAGTACTAAAAGTCTAACTCTTTTAACACGCTGACTGTTTGATGACAGATGCTGAAAGTCAGATCTATGTGTTACCAGCTGTAGGATAGCTACGGACAATTAAATTTCGGAGTGACGTATAGTGCATAAAACAAACACATCTTAACAGAGACATGTTATCTGGAGGATACTGAGGTATCACACTGAGTAAACCCCAAACAGTCACCAACCAGAACACACCGGTATAGTTGCTATCTGACCTCTATTTCTAAAGGTTGGCTGCTTATAGGATTCACTGTCGGCCAACATTACCACCGCTGCTGAAGTTGGTGGCTTCATGGAAGCTACAAACCATGACGCAGTAACGACAGTTGTGTGTGCATCCGTAGAGGGAGCAGTTCAGTCATAGGGAGTACTAAAAACACCCCTCCACGTCACATTAGCTAACTCACTGTTTATTCTGCCTTCTTCTTTCTATCTCCATATCAACCTCTTGTTCGTCTTGTGTGTATGGCTAAGTAATTCATCATTGTCACTACTGGTGGCTTAGGAACAATGCCAATTTACTTGACGAAACCATGGATGAAAGGAATGATCATGATGCCTTATCATATCTTCGAGAAACGCACATCTCAGAGAGGTTTTGGAGTAGATGATTTCTCCTTTAGGCTTGTTTACAATCGTATGACACTGAGGAATAAACTGTCCCATACTACAACTCAGTTTAATCTTATAAGTGAATTCGGTATAAGTAGAGCATGTCCTTGAAGATTATTCGAAAACGCGAAGACTTTACTGACCTTGAGTTTTTATCCAATAAACTACTGCTTGTCATTTGTTTAAATGACTCAATTAAATTTATGCTCCCAGTAGATTTCATGATCCGTCTTGAAAATTTATTTTTGTTGAGCTATGCGTGGTGTCCTCATTTTCATGTCTTGTATGTCAGATAAGTAACAAAGACTACTGTCAATTTATTATTTAGTTTTTATTTTATCTAAATTGTTTTGTGATGTAATAATTTTGGTTAAATTAAGGAAATCAGTTTCATACTGCTAAACGAATTTGATCATATTGTTTTATGATTTGTGAAATTTGTAAACTGAAACGTGCCAATAAGTGGACTGAAGGCTACATGATTCTTCTTAAGCTCCTTAAATTTCTCTGTGAGACCACACTGTTCTTCTAATTTGCATCATTGATCGTCTTAAACTGTGCATTCTGTTGACAAAACTAAATTTAAATATTGATAGCCATAATTTTTAGCAGTCACTATGGTTAAGCAAATAGGTAACTTAGTTAATATCACTGGAGTACTCTGATATAATGGTGCCTATTCCCTTTTAGCGATGATTTATTACCATAAGATGGTTAATTGATTATCTTCAATTATATAGACAAATTATGTACAAGTCCATTGTCTAAGTGGAGTAACTGTAAATCATATGTAAATTAGCAGATGTCTAATCAATTTAAATGTGTTTTTTAGCAAATAACTAATGATTTTTTGTCGGTCCAACGTAATGCCTCACGGTAGCCACCATGCGAGGTTTTTATGTGGTAGTAATAGATCTGTAACTATCGGTTCAAATCCTGATTTATACTTTTCGACTGACATGTGACGCAAATGTAGAGGATTTGTACAGTTAGTTTATTGAAACAAGGTAACCGCTGATGCCTCATCACATCAGACCAGAAATACACGCAAAAGGATGTATGTCACCGTTAAAACATTTGTGTGCTTTAAGTGGTATGTTGTTTCTCAAGTCAGTTTCCGTCCATTACATTAGACATAAATGTTAGTTAGATGTTTTCCAGACTTTTGAATGTCTGAGCAACAGCAAAATGCTATTATGTTGTTGACGAATTCAGTTTCTATAGAACTAAAATCTGAATCCTCAATAAGTTTTATTACAGCAGTTCAAGTCGCCGCACTCCATGTATTTGATGTTCATCGGACACCAAATTGGAATTACGAAACTACTAACTGATTCTGAATCCTCACTAAGTGATTTATTCCATATCATTGATATGTGACAAACTATCAACTAATTAATTCCACCATTAGTTAGTGTTCATCACTTAACTAACTGAACGACACTAGTTTCGTTCGTTAAATCAGGTGTTTAAATGTAATACACATAATTTAAAATGTGCATATTGCTTCTATATTGCTTAGCTTAATATCGAACTTTAACTTTTTATCTGGAACTGTTCATCTCACAAATGACTGACTGACGGACTAAGTTTTGACATAAGACTTTTCACAGAAGTGCAGCGCTTCAAGTTGCCAAACTTCATATAGCACGCAAAGGTAGAGGAAAAATACAAAAAAACTATAATGGGCATAAATTTACGGGCGGAATTATAGTTACATGTTAAAACATGAGGATTTAGTAGATTTGGGAGATTACGAGGGGTGGTTGCGCCTGCAGCATTGTTCACGATTTCAAGCCACTCCACCAACTATATCAAGAACCCAAACTAGGCAGTCCACATCTCCTTGCGTGTCGTAAATCTGCTGTCAGAAACTTTATGAACTGATGCTATGTTTATGTTTATCCACCCATAACTCTTTTCCATCCCACACCTTAGTGTACAAAAGAAGTATGTACAATTCCTACTTCTGTCTTGTCTGTAGAGGGATAGGCATTTATTTATTTAGTTAATCTATGTACTACGTTTAATATTACTATTACTATTCTCACTTTGAATTGTTTACACTTGTCATTCTAAATCAAAAATTTTTTTACAATGTTGAATTCTATCTTATCGAGTTTCACACCATGTCGTGTAACGTTTTATATTAGCCTACTAACCCTATTAATATATACCCCTTTCCAACATCTATACATCTTACGAATTGTTCTATATATGATAATAATTGTTTTGCCACTTGACATTTAACTATAATCAGTCACAAATATTTTAATTGCATTTCATACTATTATTGTTTCATGTATTCACACCTCTGATTCAATTCCCTCACCTGGTATAATTTCTGAAAAAGTAAAAATAAACCGTATGCATACGACTATACAACTTGATAATAAATTCGTTGAAAATAGTCTCTCCACTGAATATTGTGTTCTTAGTATATCTTTATATAAAGCAGTTCCGTTGGTGCTCTACTGCTTAATCCTGGCAGTAAATAAGCTGTTGGTTGTTTGTTTCATGTTTAGATGTCACACCTATGCTTTTTTATTGTCAAATGGAAGAGCTTCCATCTGTTCAAATCCAATCGATGTCAGCTCTTCTCATTGTTTAAATCAAGCTCATAGTAAATGGCTAGAAATTTTGTTGGTATGAGATAAGGGAATAAATCGTCAGAAGTTGTTAGAGTTTTTTTTCTTTTGCCTACAGAATTCTCGGGCAACAGAAAATTTAGAATAGTTCTAATTCGACTTCTCAGACTATCGTTCCGAGCTTGTGAAACTGGAAAATTTTGATCTTCGTATACTAAATGGAGTTCACATTGACATTGTATCAGTGTGTAAATGGTTAATGAGTTGTTCTGATAAAGTGTATGAAATGCCTAGCTTGATAGAGACTGTTTTGTCAAATGTTAGTTAAAATTAGGTTGCTTCATTCATTTTTCATAACGGATGTACATATTTACTGGATACAGTAGATAGTTTTCAAATGCTTATTGCTTGATAATTGGCTGTTTAATGCAGTTTATTGACTGAGTGAATTCTTGTGTGGACGATACGATAACAAGTCGGTACAGTAGAGGTGTTAACGTCTATGTTAGATGATTTAATCATTACTTTCATGTGCGTCGGTGGCACAGTGGTTAGGACTCTCGCCGACCATGCACATGGTCCGGGGTTCGATACCCTGCCGACGCACACCCGATATCTATGGTCGGCCTGCAAAATTTGGGCTACCGATATCCATGTTGAAAATTCCATACTTGTACTGAAAATACAGTGTGGCATCAAGCTGTAATCGAAAAAAAAGAGAGTTTAAAAACTTCAAACTGTTTAAAGATCTAAGTTCTTGATATTACAGACAAATCGCAACTTTCCACTTGTAGAAATGTCTATATCCAGTAAGAAGATTAAGGTGGCACTTCAGAATTTTTCGTTAAACCTTGTTAGTTTAAACTATTTTTCAACTTTTGTTTGAGTTAACGACCAAACAGGATACTTTAGAGAATAATGTTTGTTGTTTGCCGCAAAAACAACTCACTAACCCCAACTAGACTTATAAAACGGGCTTAAGGTAGTACTCAATGCGCAAATGCTTATAATACTACTACTCGGTATTCAGCTGAAAATGTTGAAAAAGCTTTTGAACATATGCCCCATTATTCAGAGATAGAATGCTTGCACCTCATTGAAGGTCGTTTTTGATGTAAAAATGTTGTGATTGGTGAGTTTTAAGTGGCATATTGGATACTTTTAGTGTTTGAATTAATACACATAGAGTAAAATTGATCATCTTACTTTATTTCTAATACTTATCATTTCTTGTATTATTGTTCTATGGCTGACAGATTTACGGGATTAGTTTAACTCTATATGTATCCAAAATATGCAGTTTGCTTGTCACTTTCATAGTTCACTTATTTTCATTGAGATAAGAAGTTATGAGAGTACGCTCACATTCCGAGGAACTACTCTGTCCCATTTTTAGTAATAGATAGAATGGGCTTGTACTGAAAAGAAAATTATTGTTCATAAACTTGTTGTGACCGTCTCTTGATTTTCAATCTATCTGTCGCTATGCAACCCATTTATGAATGTGTTTAATATATAAAGGCTTGTGAACTATCTATCCCCTTACTCACGTCAAAGTACGTTAGGCTGAGGGTTGAAGTGGAAGACGTTTAAGTCAAATGCGTAAACCAATGGGTTGCATTTTAATAATTGAATTTTGTATTTGTCAAACTGTGCATCATTTCTCTTCTGTACTCTTCACAATAATTCGTATGTATTCACTGCTTATCATTCAACATATGAATATCTTTATTTGTCGTCCTTTAATTATTTCATCACATTTATGTTCGTCCATTTTAGTATACGTATATTTGTGTTATTTCATTTTGTGTGCTTTTCTGAGGTTCAGTAACTTAAATTGATGCGTTATTGTGCGAAGTTCTACCTTCACTCAGTCAGTCACTTTTTTAGAACAAATCTTACATGAATATTTGTTTGTGGTCGAAGGTAGCTAGTATTTTCATATCTTCCATTTTCAATGGCAATGTTTCACGGACAAAAGAGGCCAGAGCCAACTACTTTGCAGTGCACACACCCTTTAATGGATAACTGACCATAAAAATAAGGCACTGAAATTTTATGTCTGAAGGAAGCGTTATGATGCATAGTACACTATTTCTGTGCATGCACATATGACTAAAATTTTATAATTTGAAATGACTATTGATTTCTCTTCGTTAATTTGAAACTGAACTGAATATCTAAGGGAGAACTTTGTGTTAAAGAGTACCAATTCAGGTTGTTACACTACATAAAAGGACAACTTAAGGTAGAAGTAATAAGAACCTCAAAGAAAATACAATAAATAACTGGAAATGAGTCTGGAAAACAGAATAATAACACAAAGATACTTGCGAACTTAGTAAATATGAGAGATTACAATATGATTTAAGCCATAAGCATAAGGACCCCAGTTAGACATGACTCGTCGTGGATTAATGTCGTGTTTTGATCTCACTACGTCTAAGTCTTTCCAACTCACGGCTCTCTCACCTAACATTAATTGACGAGAAAAGGGATGGAATTTTGAAAACAAAAACTACTGTAGTGATAAGTCTGTAAGGTCTGGATAATGCAACCGGGTTCCTGTTAAGTGTATAGTAACTTGAAATTGACTCAGTTTATTTTATACTGCTTAAATTGTGATTATCCCAATATCATTCACTGTCTATTACTTCTCTCTCTCTTTCTCTCCTTAAATTGATAGTTTTAACCGTTATTTCAGCAAGTGTCAAGTTTATTCAGGAACCTGAGGACGCCTGTATACCATGGCATAGTCAAATTCAACTTAATTGTAAAGTTAATCATCCCACAGCAGTCTATTCATGGTTAGCAATACATCATGCTCCTTTGGATTTAATCTTTTCCAATGGATATCTTGAATTTTTAAAAGAACCAAATATTCTGTTTGAGAAGGCAGAAACATTAGTTGAAAATTCTTCTTTTGTGTAAGACAATTTATTTTTCTCTGTGATTAGTATTTATTTTAAAATTTGATAGTGTATAAAAGTGTTTATTGGGAAGCACTGATTTGGTGGTAGACAGAGTATGTAGGTGAATAATTGTCTTTTAACATGTCCCAGGATCTGTCAGTTAATCACTTCCTCTGTGACTGACACTGAATTTGTTGAAATTTGATATCTTTTTATGCTTGTATTATCTGACATTCTACAATGATTCTATTTAATTTCATCTCAGTATTTTTTTGTCATGCGTTAGCAGTTCAATCCTAGAATGCTGGCAAACTACGCCGCATGTAGTCCGGTTCCGACTCCTGGTTGACGCTCTTTCAAATCGCTCATTTGGTAGTAAGCGTGAGGAAGATTAAAGCTTGAAGACTCTGTTTCACTTGCGTTAGTCGGAGCCTCTTCAACAGTGCCCACCCGTGAGCCCACCGAGAATCGAATGAGGGACCTTCAAGTTACGAGGCAAGCTCACTAACCATTGAGCCACTGGGACAGAATCCAATGGTCGTCCCAAACTAGGACGAACGGTTGTGTCCAGCACTCCCTAGTTTTCGATGGTTCTCTAAGTGATACTTATTTCGTGATCTAATTTGTAATAAAGTTGGGTAGTTTGATGTCTTATGCGGTAATAAAATATTCTATATTTATTTAATGTCTTGTCGTCAGGCTATCTTAAAATATTCACCATCCTTGAGTACACATCATTATCTACCAGACGGTGACATGGGGGAGATCGTGCGGGGAGGAAATGAAGGCTTGTGGTCAACTGACTACAGATAACAGGATGAATTCGAGATGTGCTTGGGAAGCTCTGTGTTCCCCTGGGAACAACAATAGTAATATAGCCTCACTGTTTATGAGCCATTTAGGTCGCATCTATTAGATTTTTCTTTAATTAAGTATACATGTTTGCATAGAAATTAAAACTCAGCTTGGAACACATTAATTGTTCACTCAATGAACTCACTTTCCCAAAACAGATCTTTCACCTATCAAACTAACAGCTACACTTATCTCGTGAAAGCTGATTCTCCCACACAGGCTGAAGTAACCGTCGTAAACGACTTTGTAAGACCGAGGGTAGATAGACTTCGATCTTCCTCCTGAATTGTTCCCACGTGGTCATAGTCTCTGCCAGGTAAGTCATATTCACTGACTACTTCATGAGGCAGGAGTGCTCCTCACAAAAGTGAAAGGGTGAACTGGAACACCTGGCGCTTACAACCGGACTAGTGGACATGCAGGTCCATCTACCTAAGGGATCTTGCAAACCCTGATTCGGAATGTATGGTGTAGATGAGCTCCACAATGGGAAGGGATGGAATGGCGTATGAACGTGTTTGGGACACTAAGGACCATTGTAAGGTAGGTGGTGACACTGATCGACTTCCTTGTGGATTAGACTTTGCGTGAAAGGCTGGAGAAGAAGGTGGCCCATAAAGCCAACCACCACCTGGTCTAGGCATCGGAGCATTATCCCAGCTGTTGCACAAACTATGATATTTTGTGTGACACATTTGTTGGTGCTTATAATGTTCCAAGTGTGTGTCTTAATAATGAATAGTATTATAAGGTTTAAGGAGGTGGAGCATAATTCAAACTTGTGGTCTGTTGGTTGCAAACCTGGCTTTTAAGTCACTAATTTACATCTAGACATCAAATGTTAAAGTGTTATGTGCCGGAGAAGTGTAGGAATGTGGTTTATGAGCCTAAGCACTGAACCTTCATCTACAGCATCAAGGATTCGAATCCCCCTGTAGCCTACTTCAGTCTAGGAAAGTGGGTTGATATGATCAACCTTCATTTACAATATGTATGGCTGATAGCCCGACATATAGTAAATCTGACTTTTAGGTAGCTAGCAAACTAATTAACCATGCCTAAGTTATGAGTCATAAGGACCATCATCTTTTCATTTACTATCATTACAATAACACAACAAATTGTTATTTTTATTTATTAAAAGTCTACTGATCTGTTTAATCTTTCTTTCCTTTTTTTCAAAAAATAATCTAGAAATGTTAATCCCTTTGGTGGTCTACTACTCAGACATCCTATTTCAGTAGATAAAGTTAGTAGATCAAAAGCCTTACAACCGAATTATAAATCATGGCTAGAAGGTTCTTATCGGTGTAAAGCATCGATTCCCGGTCAAGGCAGTTTAGTCAGTCGTACAGCGAAAATTCGTCTTTCTGGTAAGAAGTTTAAATTATCTTATATGTCTGTTTTCTCAACCTTCTTTGTGTGTGTGTGTGTATCAGTTGGTAGCTAACTGTTTCGTCCTGGTTTAAGGATCTTCATTAGTAGTGCGCCTCCACACCTCAATGGATAGATTAAGTAAAACAGCGTAAAGTTACTAAGTGAGTGTATTCCTGTTGAACCGTTGAATGGGAATTCTGTACTTCAATAGTTCCCACTTTTTTGCATAATATAACTCTACCACTATCTTCAATGCCCAATGTTTAGTAAGCGCTTTCATACAACTTAACAGATCCAATGGCTCCTAGCGTCTTTTTACATTTCCAGGAAGTCTATCTGAAAAGTATTCACGAATGAGTAATGGATTGATATTAAGTTCTTGAGTGTTTGTCATTCATTTCAGGATAGATTTAGTAGTAAGCTTGAAGTTCTTGTGATTGACCCTTCGAAGAGTCGTAAAACTGTCCAGAACTACTTGGTTTCCAGTGTGTATCTTTAAGTGATTTCACTTCATGACGAAATCTATCTTGGAGCTCAGAATGTTTTTGATATGGTCTGTCACGTTATCTTAGTAAAACTAATGAGTTATTTTATTCATTTAATCGGTTGGTATTAAGACTGTGTTCTGAATAGCGTAGTGGTAAAGCCTTTGATCTATTCCTTCTCGAAGTTTCAGTTAGGCCTTGATGATGATTGTCAACAAGCGTAAAAATGCTGTTCCGAGCTTCATGTTGACTGCCTTCTCCTAACATTTAGTATTGAAATGCATTGCATTACAACGTTACGACACTTGTCTCTGTGTTGATATAGCCTATTGCACATTTGACCTATGACAAGACACACACATGCAGGATCAAACAGCTCTATTCTCATACAGTCATTGACTATCAGATGAGTTTATAATATTCAAAGAAGATAACTGAAGTAGAGAAATTTTCCTGTCGAATGTCGATCAGTAGGTACAGTCGTGTGATTTAGGATGTCAGGTATGCGGGAACTTCATTTCTCAGCTGTAGAAATGACAAATCATAATCACACCTAGACGAAACACTCAGTGACTGAAGTCATTTTGAGGATCTGAATAGCCATCACATCTAGATGTCTTAACTTCTGCGACCACTGCCCTTCTTGAGCATTATAATTTCTGGGATTAGAGTCTCATCTCAAAATTGAGTTGTGTTCTACTGGAGTATCTAGTTTTTCTTACTTTTTCGAATCAAATTCTATCATTCACATACTAAATACAGCCGGAAAAATAAAGACGCGTTAGTAATGACTGGGTACTAGGAGTGAAATGTATTTTGCCCAATTTTTTTATAAACAGCTTATCTCAAGATAATAAGCGTGTATCAGTTGATTCGCATTCTCCGTCGATTGATTGTGTTAAACCGAAATGTTTGGTCTCAGCTGGTCAACATCAACCAAAATAACACGATAAGCGTGTATTTGTGCCTCACAAATAACAAATAGGAAGGGAAGATACAATTAGCAATTACTTTCAATATTTTTATTATTATTATTCTATTCTTATACGTTCCCCGTGGGACATAGGGCTTCAAGCTAGAGGCTTGAAGTTTCGGTAGCAGGGTTGTTTATCTTTACGGGATGCGGTTGCTAGCCTCACACCCAACCTTTCCTCTTTACCACTCTTATTACTGGCTTAGAGAGGTAAAGGAGTACGTCGGTCGGGGATCGAAACCTGGATCACATGTGTGGTCGGCAAGCATTCTACCGCTGTGCCACCGACGCACTTTCAATATACATTCTCAGAATTTTCACTAACATCGGTGGTCAGGATGCCAAAGGGAGGGGTGTGGTTAACCAAGTTCAGTCGGAATACAGTTACTGATTGATGACATTCGAGGAAAATGGGAAGAATTGCAAATCATGGATCGCCTAATTTCGACAGCGTAAAAAATAGTCATAGACTAGATTCCAGTCGGTATTGTGATTACACACTGTTCAGAGAGGAATAGCAAACTTGTTGGTGGAAAAAGCTAACTAATCCTCCTACCACTTCGTTAATTCGTAATCCATAAGGAATACACTGAATTCATATGCTGCAGTAGAACTTCTCACATTTTTGTTATTACCGAAGTTGGAACATCCAAATTGATACAAATCCGTGTGGTATAAGAGCATATAGATGAAACATAACATCTGTGAACCAAGACAGTGTTATTGATTGCTAAGAGAATTACTTTCAAGTACTATTTAACTACTTTGTGTCTTTCTGCGTGTTTCTTCATCTAAAGTTTGAAGAGATTTTATGTTCTTATTTTCTTTTGCATTACATAGATCTCTTTCTTGAGCCTAACCTGCCTACAACTCATAATCTTTTGCCAAATTCACGTCAGTCGTTAATTACTGAATTTCAGCAACATTCAAGTCAGCATACAACTGACTTATCGTCGAAAATACCGACAGATACAAATAAACATCCTGGTCTTGGAGGTGGTAGTTTTTTCCCCGGTGAAGTTGTTGTCCTACGTTGTCCAGTAGTAACAGTCAGTTCAGTTAAACCGATAATTCGGTAAGTGGTACTATTTTATATATATTGTCAGTACTTGTAGCCTATGTTTTTTGTACCTAATTTTTGCTGTGTTTTTCTCAATCTCCGGAGACTTTTGTTTTATGTATCTGAGTAGTAATAATTAGTCAACATGCGAATGTATGACTTGCTGGGTCACAGTCACTTAATTTCTAGTTGAAATGCGGTTCATTTGCTTAAGCACTTGAATTCCGACCAATGGTTCCAGTTTCAAATCTCGCTCCACCTAATACTTCAGTCTGACTGGGCAGTTGGTTACACGCACACAATGAGCGTGACTCGTAACCCGGTACCGGCTAGCTGAGTTCTAGCCAGCCAGTTGGGTCATGGTGTTGATCTCCGCTGTGCCTACTTCAGCCTTTGAAAACTAGGTCATATCATGTCATCACCACTCAATGAATCTGACTCTTGACAAATATGAGTCTCAGCTAACTGTAATTAACACACTAAACAATAAACTTCTCATGAATGTCATGGACTTCTAAAAAGGGTTAATAATTGGTGAGTTCCATCAATGGGTATCATTCATGAATGTGAAGTAGAATTAGACACTGGTATTCTGTTTGGTACACTAGTTAAATGATTACGTACTTTTCATAAACACCATGATATTTCTCAATCCAATCTTTGTTGATGCACACACTGTTGCATAGATTTAATCCATTTCACTCCATTCCTTTATTCTCCAAGTGGAACATAGGTCTTCAAGCTATTTGGAGTTTCATTAGTGATTATGTTTTTTCCCAGAGTGAGGTTGTTGACATCGCGTCCAACCTTCCCTCTTGACTGGGTATGCTGGCTAGGCGTGCATGGTTTAGGTGTGCGTCTGCCGGGGATCGAACCTGGACCACATATGTGGTTGGAGGTTATTCCACTCTAAATAGCTGACACAGTGAATAGTATTAAAGTGAGTTGAAACATCTGTTCAAGTCTTCTTTGGTTTTCAATTACTAGCCTTCTAACTTTTATTGACTTTTGTCGGTCATGAAATTAGTTAAAAATTCTTACAGACTCGAAAATATAGTCATTCTGTGTTTTGTTTGCACGTATGTATCGTGTGTGCGTGTGTGTGCGTTGACGCTTTGAAGATGGAGATGACTGTGATATTGATAACGAGTATGTCAATTAGATAGACAAAGAAGCTAACTGATTCAACCGATATATATATATATATAAATTTGTATATATAGTCTGTAAACATAATTATTTCCTTTCTTTTGGAACGTGATTAAGCATCCTAATTCTTCTTATTGTTGTTCGTTTTCGCGTTTGTCTGAGACTGTGTGTGTGCGCTTGTTTGAAGACCTGGATGAAGGATGGTCAGTAGTTTGTGACAGAAAATAGAGTTGGAACTCCCCACCCTCGCCACCCAGTATTAACGTTGAAAATAGGGTAGGTAATATTTTGTCTTACCTACACTACGCAAATCTTGTCTTTGTCTTGTAGTCAATTTTTAACACGACGGTGATTTTAATACTGTTATTGTTATTATGACTACCATAAGAAATGTTGATTTTCTATGAAAGGATTTGTGCACACTAAGCAGCAGTCCACTCCGTCTTTCCTCACGGCTTGGGAACATGGCCGTTGTAACTGAAGAGACCAGATGTCTTTGACCATAGTGGAACACTGAACTTCAACAGCTCGTCCCCATTTCATACGGTTCTCTGCAGTCGTTCGTAGCTGGCTTCACGACTGACCATAAGGTTTCATCTTCTGACACGGATTCCCAACTCATCGTTTCACATTTGTGTTCCAATTGAGAGATGGCCTGGTGTGCGATGTCACTCGACAGTCTTCGATCCACCTCCATTTTCTTCGGCATATTTGTTGTGCAATAGGTGCCTGACTGGTTCATTCCTGGAGTTTCTTGTTTCTTATTCTTTCTGGTCAACCATCTCATCGTCAGTATGGAGCCAGAGAAGGCAGCTGTTGATGTGAAAGTTGACAGTAGCCTAACGGAAATGCTTTTCATAATGCATCAAGTTTCCGACTCATATGGAAGAACCAACTTAACATTGGTGTTGAAAACTCGAATTTCGCTCTTTATGCTGAGTGCAATGAATTTCCAGACTGATTTCAGATTAATGGATTTCTCTCCTGCCTTTCAGATCCTGGCTTTGACATCTTCATCCATACCGTGCATGTGCAGTTGAAACGATGCTGCCTAGATAAGTGTAAGAAGTGAACTCCTTCAAATTTCTCTTGTTGATGGTGATTGGTGCTTGTTGTTATTGTTGGTAAGGTATCTTCGTCACCTATGTTGATCCTAGATGGTTGAGCAATATGGTCAGTACTAATGAGATAAGATGCAGAGTGTTAGGTGTTAAGAGGGAGAGTCATTCGATGAAGTCGTGAAGGCACATCGATTGATGTGGTTGGGAAATGTGTTGTACATACCATGCTGTCGCAATCCTTATTGAGCAATCTTAGGTGATATAGGATCGCTTCGTAAAAAGAGTTAAGAATAATTAAACCAAAACAGACTATATTGGCATTTGTGTAGTCTTCCTGGTTGGGGACCCAGATATTCTAAGTGTCATTTATTGGTATAGTTGGCTAGTGATATATCTGAAAAGTTGTTCTCAATCGTGCAGATGCATTCACTCATTGTGTGTTCTCTAAAATCTGTTAATGTATTACAGTTGTTAGGTTTTGTCACGAAGCAAAATCAGTTAGAGATATCATTGAAAACCAGCCCGTGAATTCTGACTTTGTTAATTCGTGAAATAGCGCTGCCCTCAACCGATATCAATATCTTAGGTGCTCATCTGTTTCACCATGACGTGGTAGATCCCACTGGCCATGACTTCTCAGTATAGCTTCAGGATATCAGTCCAATAGCCATCGATGAACTGAAGATTGCTGTTGGGATTTTGTTAGGGATTCGGATTAATTTCAATTGTTAGATTTTATCACAAACCAACATCCGTTTCCAATGATTATCTTTCCTTAACTGATGCTGGTTTCTGACAAAGTCTCTCCTTTAAATTCAGTTCATTTTACTGACTTTACTTTTTCTTGTCTCACTTTTCATTTTTAGTCGTGATAAAAAAAGTAATATTTTTCTTCAAATGTACTTTGTCTAAGGACAATAATAGTAATAATAATTGTAGCAACAATAGTAATAGAATGAATGATGCTTGTAAAGGAATCACAGAAAGCGATTGTATGTTTTTACTGTTTCTTAGGTGGTCTAAAGTATTTGTTTTAGAGTTAATTTTTCCCCTTGTTTTTGTATGCTTTTAGAAGTTGTCTGTAATTTGTACCGTTCATTTTTCAAAAACAGAAATTTACATATGTATTTGTATATCATGTATGTTATTCACTCCAAATGGACAAGCTATTAGTGTTCTTTGTTTGCTTTCACTGCTACTACAACCGTCGTTATCACTATCATCATAAATTCAGCGTTGCTAGTGCATGGGCTTATATGATAGTACTTACACTTTAAAATGATTGAGCGCAAGCAGTCAGTCCGACATTCGACTGTCGGCGATCGCAAGTAGTTGATGCATCGGTGGTTCAATGATAGACTTCTCATTAATCATGCCTGTGGTTTGATACCCGTCCACTGATACATTTCGAAGCCTCACCTAGTTAACTAGCCAATAGTGTAAGCCTGTGAAAGAGGGAAGCTTAGGCATGAGAATGGCAACCTCCCTTCGTAAAATGAGTAACACTATCGCCACTGAAATTTCAAACCTTTTACTTTTCATAATTGGGGTATGTCGTCAATATAAAGTGCCTGTCTGGTACATTTGTTATGCATGCTAAACAATGTTGATTAGAAAAACTGTAATTAGGTCGTGAATAATTTCCAAGGCTGTCAATCTATCTGTAAGGTCATCATCATACATATTGATTTGATAGATATTAGAAAGGGATGTATGTGGTTCGTGCTGTTTAAGGTGTGTGTGATAATGAGTGATCATTGTTTACTATTTGTTTTTCAGAATTCTAAAGATTTTTCAGACATCTTCATTTTACTGTTCCACCTCATTACACAACTTTTCACGTATTTGTAAAGTTTTACACTGGTTTGTCTGTCTTACTTGTCACCAAAGTGTATGACCACTGCTGTTTTATTCGACGTCCTTCAATGTAATCTATCAGTTATGCGGGATGAATGTATTAGATTTTTTAAATAACATGGAAGATTTTGTTGATGTTGACTAGCAGTGAAATCCCGGGCGCAATTTCGTCCTATTTTTGGAACTCGTCAACTGTACGTACCTGCAATCCCCCGAGCGAGTGATAGTGTTCCATTGCTAGTCACCAGCCACCAGATTACCTCATGTTAATCTTCCGTACTAAGAGCCACCGACATGTCAATAGAGGCCAAACATTTCGTTTCAATCAATTTAACTGGAAAATCAAAATTGACTTGGAAGATTGTTTCAGTGCGTTGAAACGATGTCAACGAATAGTAGTAGCCTTATATCGTTTTACTTAATTCTTTGTATATATTATGGACTGGATTTCAACTTCTCCCCACAGATGTCGTCTTAATAATACAAAGTGACTATTTTCATTCAGTATTATTGACTGTCTGATATATCACAAAAAAGCACACATCAACCAGCAGTGCTTGATTCGATATCACTAAAAAATGTGTACAGTTTGCAGTGAACCGCGCTTTGTGTGTGTGAATGTGTAGTGGCCAAAATGATACTTACTACCTTTCTGTCCGAAATACAGTAGGTATAGGGACTTTCGAACTGGTGATTCAATGTTTTATTTTTTTTGATTACAGCTTGATTCCACACCCTATTTTATGGTACAGGTATGGAATTTTCAGCATGTGATATCGGTAGCCCAAATTTTGCAGGCCGACCATAGATATCAGGTGTTCGTCGGCAGGGGATCGAACCCCGGACCATGTGCATGGTCGAAGAGAGTCCTAACCACTGCGCCAAACTAATAAACAAAGGCTAAATGTTTCAAATAATTCAGTATTTAATGCAAACAAAACACGTAGT